AGAGAACCCAGGGGCCCGAATTATATTAAAACAGCGTAATTACCAAAGTCGTCCCGACCCGGGGCGTCGTCGGCGCGTAACATGTCGAGCTTTCAGGCGCAGGGTCTGTTCGACTCGCTGCTCCTCACCTGGGAGAGCCTCGCCTGGGACAGTTACAAGGAGGCCCTCTTTGCCGCTCAAAAGGCCGCCGCTGCAGCCAGAGGCGGCGCCTCAGCGGCAGCAGCGGGACCAGCCGGCCGCGCCGCTGGAGGCCGCTGCGGGGCACCCGGCGGCTCAGGTCGATGCTCGTAATCAATTTTACGTCGCGAACTTATTGAGCACTTGAGCACTGGATAGGGTCGATTCCGCATGGTACGGGACCCCTCGATCGTCTCGCCCTCCCTCACTGGTGTGTTCATTGGGGGGGGTCATAACAAACACGGTATAGGATCGAGGTGCACGCTGCCCGAGGCAGTGTCGTCCCCCCTCTCCATCAGCTCACAGTGAGACGTCGGCGGCGATGGCGGTGTGACCGATCGAGCTACAAGAGGAGCTTGTTCAGCAGGATCCAGGACCAGGTCTGACGCACTACCTCACTGGGCCTGAGATCATCGAGACAGCGCCCGTCACCGTCACTCTCGGGTTTGTGTGGAGTCGAACCACTCCGGGATGAGCGAGCTCATCGCTTTAAATTGCGCTCTTTCTCACACCTGTTGCAGGCAGCGGAGGATATGTGCGCCAATTTGTTGGAGCAGGGCATGAGGGGGGGGGGATTTTAGCCGGTTGGAAAAGCCGAAAAGGTAGAGTAGCAACTGGAGACGTACTACACACTCGAACCTCGCTCCCCACGCATGGTACCACGCGAACTTATTAAAATTTAAATAAATCAATAAAACGGTCAAACTCTGAACGAGATAAAATAAATAAAAACGGACACCTCTCTACTGTGTGATGGGTAAAAAGGAACAGGCCCCCGCCCTTGCGATCTTTGTGCAGGGTTCTTTGTGGGTGTGGTCGGCGACTAGCCGGGGTCGTCCTCCCGCCGGGGGACTAGCTGGACTAGCTCTGAACGAGATGGGATTCCTTGACAGCCATTTTATGTGTGTAAATCGCGTAAAGAGGTTTCCCCCTTGTGCTTGTGTGCCAGCCAGAGCCGTTTGCGATAGGTCCAATCGGGCGGCATGCACTTGGAGCACTTGGAGTGCAGTCGGCAACCGCACGCCCAGGACCGGGGAGCTAAGAAGCGCACCCGAGAGGGGGGACACCGCTCGATCTACTCTCTGGGGTCCCTCAGCGGCGTGCACCTCGATCCTGTACCGTGTTTGTTATGACCCCCCCCCCCCCCCCCTGACCACACCAGCGAGGGAGGGCGAGACGATCGAGGGGTCCCGTACCATGCGGAATCGACCTTATCCTTCAAGTGCTCAAGCGCACACAGTTGGCCAGCTAGTTGGCCAGACGATTGGTATCGGGTTGCGCGAGAGTTTTCTTTTTTTGGCGACCGCCGCGGTAGGACGGTACCGCTACGCCAGGACAAGGAATCGAACGGTTCAGCTGCTGCTGTTCGAGTCGTTCGGCGGGTTCCGGGAAGGAAGGGGGTCTCGGCGAGGGATCCTCTGGTGCTCTGGAAGGCGGCGAACGTGCTGCAGAACAAGCTGACGCAGGCCCAGCAGTCGCCAGTACCTCGACGAGGTGACTTGCACCACCAAGAATTGGCTAGGGCTGCAGAAGCAGCGTATCTCATACGTTCTTCATTCAGACAGACAGACGGCCATCGCAGAGCAGATTGTGAATGAGCTTGCCTGTGGCTCGAGGCCTGTGGCGGGGGCGGTCGAGTCGAGTGCACGGAGCTAAGTGCCTCGCCGCCCTCGCGGGAGTCGCTTGGCGGCTCCCGTTGTGTACCTGTGTTAGCCCAGTGCGCGCCAGCCCACGGCATTTTTTTTTCTTGCCTGGACTTCGGCGGTGAGTGCGGATCTGTGCCGTCGGCGAAGGAGCTGAGCGCGCTCTCGCTCAGATGTCATCGGAGCCTTTCGCTACTTCCGCACCCCTGGAGCCGAAGCTGTACTTTGCCAACGAGCGCACCTTCCTCCACTGGCGCGTGCCCCCCTCCCCCCCCCTCTCGCTCGCGTTGCTTTCGTGCGTCATCTTTGCAATCAGCTGTTGTGCTTCCTCCGTTCGGCAGGTTGCACGCGTGCCTGACGCTCGCTTCAGTTGGCATGGTTCGCACCCTCGCGCCGCACCTCGGCTGCCGAAGCTTCTCCTTGAGAGCGCGCACCGCGCCGCCTCAGGTCCTCACCTCGGCCGCTGATCGCGACAACCCGATGCTTCTCTGCATCGGCGTCGCGCTCTCCGGAGTGTCTCTCTTCCTCATGTGGTGCGATGGATAGTGAGTGATAGACGCGCGACCGCGCGGCACCCGAGCTCTCCCGAGGAGAGCTTCAACGCCCGCCAAGAGCTGCCCACTTCCCGCCAGGTACGCGTATCGCACCTTCCTCTGGCGCATGGCCCGCATTCGCTCGCGCGCCGCCGAGCGCGCCGACGACCCGGTCTCACCGCTCGAGGACGCCGCACCGCTGCTCGCGCCTCTGACGCCGTCGGACGGGACGGTAGGTGGGCCCGATTGTTATCTCCGCCTCGGTGGTCGTCGCTCTCGCCGCCTCGGCAATGCTCGCCTTCTCGTCGTCTCTCGGACCGGCCTAGCCCTGCGGGATCTCGACACCGCCAGCAGGTCGCTCCCAACGTGCCACGGCAAGAACACAGGCGGCCGATCCCTCCGACACGTTTGCCAGCCGGGTGCCCTATACCTGCTGGCCGCTACGGAGAGGACCCGCCTCTGAGGATGTGCTTGCTAGCACTCGAGTGCACATACACAAATTACACCGTGACTGATCTCTGTCCATCTCCACTGTCGACTCTCTCGTGTAAAGGCGTACGTCCTCGCTCACATACTCTCCCGCGCGCCGCACACACCGACACGTACCCGGCGCAGATCCTCTCCCTTTGTGTGTGCCCTTTCTAGTCATTCTAGTGAATGAATTGACTCGTCCCAGTGGATGTGTCCGATTTCCGACGTCCCTGTCAAAATGTGCGTGACGTCCGATCCTTTGTAATCGTCTAGAGACGCTGGATACATGAGCACGGAGCCGGCCGCTCCCGGCCCCACGCTGCGCCCACGGCCCGCGCGGCCGGCGCAGCCGTCCGGGAGCTCAGGCGCTACCGCACCGCTTGCGCATGGTAGCGGCCTACGGTCCGCATCCTGCCGTCCGGCAGCGCAGACGCCGGAGAACCGAGCCCAACACCCTCCGCCCAACCCGGCCCAGAGGCCGCCGGCCGAGGCACCCGCCGCGACGCCGCCCACCGGTGTCGCCGAGGCAGGTGCACTCAGCCCCAGCGGGCAGACGCTTGCCGCCGCAGAGCTGGCGTCGCACCAGAGGCAGTGCGCAAGCGCACAGCCTTTGCCTTTCGTGCAGATGCAGCACCCTGGAGTGCAGCCGCAAATGTACCTGCCGCCCTCGTCTGGCTGCATGCACGGCCAGTCCCTTGCCGACCAGTGGGCCAGCTGCGCGTCGATGGCCATGCCTTCGCAGGCCTCCGGTTTCGGCTGGCCTGCCGCGCCTGCTCTCATGGACCCCGCTTGGGTGCAGAGCCCGCATGGCTGCTGCGCGCCCGCCTTCCACGGCTGCGGTTTGGGGCAGGTGCAGCCCTCTTGCGGCTCCTACCTCCACACTGGCGCGCAGCAGCTCTACCCCTGCGGCGGCGAAGCGTGGTCGCCCTTTACGCAGCAGCACCAGGTGCAGCAGCAGATGCAGCAGCAGCAGCAGGTGATGCAGCAGCAGCAGCAGCACGCCGCCTTTCAACCCGGGTTCCCTGCGCCTGGCGCTTCGGCTGCCGCCATTGGCGCTGACCAGGCCGCCTCCGCCGCCCGAGGGCAAGCCGGAGTCGGTGAGCGCGACCCTCAGGTCGAGGGCCTCGCCTCTCTCCTCGCCCAGGCCGTGCGGCAGAGTGCCGGTGGCGCCAAGGCCAAAGTCAAGGACGTCAGCGCCGCCGAGGCTAACGCCGTCGCCACCACGCTCGACCCCGCCGACGTCGCCCCTTTCATCGCGCGCTTCAAGAACCTGTGCATCCGGAAGGACCCGCGCTTCGTCAGGCTGTTCGCCCTCAGCGCCGCCCAGCTGGCGAGCACCATCACTGCAGGCGACGACGAGCTCGCCTACCTCGACGCCTACGTCGCCGGGGCTGTTCAGTGCTGCCTCAAGCCCGACTCTGACGCTGTCAAGCTCTTTAGAAAGCGCAACGACGGCGGACGTCAAGGCAGCGGCCTCTACCAGCTTCAGAGCATCGCTCGGCTCGCCGTCCTCAAGCCCGGCGTCGAGATGCAGAACGCCGAGGCCGCCTTCAAGAAGAAGACGTTCTTTGTTGCCGGGATGGGGTTCGTCCCCGCGCAGCTCGCCGCGGAAACGCTCAAGGCCGAGTTCGCGCTCCTCACCAACCAGTGCCGATCGCACTTTGACGTCTACCGCGCCATCATCGGCAAGCTTCCCGACCAGATCAGCGGCAAGCGCGATGCCCTCGCCGACAAGATCAACGAGTGGCAGTCCGGCGGGTTCCCGCCCTGGCACAGCTACGACGCCTTCATCACATACGTCGCCGACCTGCTCAGCAGCGGGAGCGCCTGCGTCAGCGCCGGCGATGCTGGCCCCGCCGATGCCGGCGCTGGCGGGCTCGAGGCGAACGCTGCTGAGAGGGCCGGCGGTGCCCCGCGCCCTCCTTGCCTCATCTGCGGCAGCCCCGACCACGGCAATCACCCCCCATGGGTGCCCTTTCTAGTCATTCTAGTGAATGAATTGACTCGTCCCAGTGGATGTGTCCGATTTCCGACGTCCCTGTCAAAATGTGCGTGACGTCCGATCCTTTGTAATCGTCTAGAGACGCTGGATACATGAGCACGGAGCCGGCCGCTCCCGGCCCCACGCTGCGCCCACGGCCCGCGCGGCCGGCGCAGCCGTCCGGGAGCTCAGGCGCTACCGCACCGCTTGCGCACATCCGTGAGCTCGAGGTGTCAAGCCCCACGCCTCCTCTCGGTCCTGCAGCTTCTGAAGCAACGCTGCCGCCGCACCGTGGCCCCGCTCGATCGCGATCTCCAGCGCGGTGCGGCCCGCCGAATCGCGCGCCGTCGCCTCGAGCCTCAGGCGCGACTCGCCGCAGCGCTCGATGAGCAGGCGCAGCGCACGCACCTGGCGGCCGGCGGGCGGCTCGCGCCAAAGACGAGAGAAACGTGTGCTCCGGGGTGCCACCTCGCCGGAGAGGGGACTGTGGGCAAGCATCTAGGTCCAGCCGCGCCCCTCCCATGTCTGCGACGAGGTGCAAGGCGGTGGAGCGGTCGGGAGTGGTCGCGGTGAGGTCCGCCGCGCTGAGGTGCGGCAGGAGGAGCTCGAGGAGCGCCGGCTTGTCCCACGCGCCTGCGAGCGGGGGGGGGGGGGGGGGCTGGGCCCCCAGGGACCCTAAGGGCGGCGAGTGAAGTCGCTGCGACGCTGCCTGCCACCGCCTAGAGAGGAGCGCAAGAGGAGCAGACGACAGGCGAGAGAGGAGCCAGAGGAGCGAGCGAGCGCAAGAGAGGCGAGAGGGGGCGAGAGGGGTCGAGAGGGGTGTAAGGCGGCAGCGTACAGAACTTGTGGTGCGCAGAGAGCCCAAACGCGTCCCTGCCCGCCGGCTCCACGCTGCCGCAGGCGAGGAGCCGCGCCACCTCGGCCTCGTCGCCAGGCCACTCGACGAGCTTGCTGAGAGCGGGTCTGCGCCCCGCCGTTGCTGGCGCCGAGGGCGGACTGGCGGCCGCACCAGCGCCGCTCGACGGCGGCGCCTCACTGGCTGCTGGTGCGGCTGCCCGCCGTGCCGCGATCCGCGCAGCGGCAGCGGCGAGCTGCTCGCTATCGCCGATTCCTCCATGGCGCGGTGGCGGCGGTGGCGGCGGTGGCGGCGGTGGCGGCGGTGGCGGCGGTGGCGGCGGTGGCGGCGGTGGCGGCGGTGGCGGCGGTGGCGGCGGCGGCGGCGGTGGCGGGATTCCTCCCGCCCCTCTACCCCGCCTGTCGGCGATTGCCTCGGCGAGGTCGTTTGCCAGAGCCACTCGCATACTAGCGAACGCGGCGTGGTCCGGCTCCACTGCAGCGGCCGCGCCTTCGACAGACCTCGTGGCTCTTTTGGGCAGCGACTCGGCGTCCGGGAGACCGAAGCGGGCGGGATTCGACCCTTGCTGCTCGGCGACAGCCGAGGCGGAGCGGCCCCAACGGTCGACTGCGAAAGCGGAGGCACCGGCGGAGAGGAGTGCGGCCACGCAGGAGCTGCTGTCACCCGCCACGGCCACGTGCAGTGGTGTCTCTTCCCACTCGTTGCGCTGGTCCACGCTGAGGCCGGCTGCGAGCAAACGCAAGAGGGACGTCAGTGCATTCGACGACGCGGCCACGTGGAGCGCGCTCATGCCATGTGCGCTCTTCGCACTGACGTCTGTCCGCCCATCGCACAGCAGAGCATCGACACACTTCGCCTCGTCGGAGGCACACGCCCAGTGCAGCGCCGGCATGGCGTGGCGACCGTCGCGTGCGTTTGGGTCGGCGCCGCCGGCGAGCAGGGCTGCGAGCGCTTCAGCGTCGCCGCGCATGGCGGCGTCCAGGACAGCGTCGGCAGTGTCCTCGGCCGTGTTGTTGTCGGCCGTCATCCTAGCCGCCAGCGCGCGCTTGGCATGGGTTTGGGCCCCAGGAGGGGAGGGGAGCCTCCGCCCCCGCTCGAGACAAAGAAGGAGAATCCCCCTGCCTGTCTCGCGTCCACCCCATACCGCGTTGGTGTCCACCTCCTTCTTCCCACATTCATGTACTTACTTGCAGGATCTCTGCGGGAGACGCGCGGCGAGGCTAAGTCCTAAGACCGGCTGACGTGGTGACCGCTCTAGAGAGCCTGCTCCTCATGCCCTGCTTGCTCCCGCCGCGCGCCGGACACCAGTCACCACACACCAGACGGCCGCGCGAAGGTCCATCCATCTTTGTTTTGTTCCAAGGCTGCCGGCCCAGTGTCGTGCAAAATCCCTGTGTGGTGGCGGCCGTCCTCCGCCTTTATCTCTAACGCTCTGTTTTCTTTCTTTCTGGCGCGCACTGGAACAACACAAGTGACAAGACATAAGTACACCTACAGCTACACCGAATTTTACACGAAGAACCTGTACACCCGACAGAAACACAAACCCGGCCGCGGTCGAAAAAAGGTTGCTGCGAGAATTGGCGAGCGCAACGCCGGGGGCGATCAGCTCGTCGCCCGCGCCTCGAGCTCCAGCAGGAAGGCGCTCCAGTCCATCGGCGCCTCCTCCCCGCGGGCGGCACGCGCATCGAGCAGCCCGCTCACCTAGTCGTGCAAAGGGGTCGGGGTAGGTCAGCCTCTCCAGCACCCTAGCAGCGTGGAGCGAGCTGCCACCCCAGCTCGCCTCCCCCAGCACGCCGTCCAGCACCGGAAGCGGAGCCCCCGGGCGAGGCGGATCGGGCGAGGAGTTGGAGGAAGAGCCGCCCGCCTCGTCGACCAGCCCTCGCATCAGCCGCAGGTCTTTCTGCGCCACCTCGAGCGCCGCCCCCACCGGCCGACCGTCGCCGCCGAAGCTCCTGCTCACCATCTTGTCGCAGTACAGGTCCACCAGGTTGGGCGCCGGCAGCACGTGAGAGGTCCAGTCGCGCAAAGAGTCGCGTGGCAGCCCCGCCGCGTCGAGGAGGAGGAGCGCCTCGCCGAGCACCTGCCCGAAGCCGTACACCATGAGGTTGGTGCACAGCTTGTACAGCGCAGACGCGCCCGCGTCGCTCTCCGACAGCACGCGCGCGTGCTTGCTCCAGAGCGGCGCGACGCGCTCCGCGAACACGCGCGCCGGGTGCGAAGAGAATAGAGCGGCGTCCGCGCCCGCAGCAACCCCCGGAGCCTCGCCGGCTGCTGCCACCCAGCTGCATAACTGGCCGGCAGCGGCGTGCGGCGGCCGGCCTGTGACGGGCGCGTTGACAAAGGCGCCGCCGGCCTCGTGGACCAGACGCGCCAGCTTGCGCGCGACCGGGGCAGAGATGGTGGCGCAGTTGGCGAGGAGGAAGGGTGGGGCTGCCGCCGTCTGGTCGCGGTGAAGAAGCTTGAGGCACGCGGTGAAGAAGCCCTCGGTGGAGTCATCGCCAAAGAGCATCGCGACTATGACGACGCCACTCGGGTTTCGGAGCGCCGCAGCGGCAACCTCATCCACCGTGGCGGCGACCGTCGTGCGCAAGGTCTTGTCGCCAGATGCCTGCTCGGAAACGCGAGCCGCAACATATTCCGCCTTGGCCGGCGTGCGGTTGTACAGGACCAGGTCGGAGAAGATCGCCCCGCCGCTCGTACCGATTCGTTCGGCCATGGCGGCGCCCATCGCGCCCAGGCCCACAAAGACCGCAGTGGGTCGAGCGGAGTCGTCGGATTGCGACATACAATGCCGTCAGCCTCTTTGGCACGAGCACAGGGGGTAACACGCTTGGCGGCGCCGCCAGAGATTCGGGCTGTCCGCCGCGCTTTCTTTTCTTTAAAATACTGCCACGCTTGACGGGCTTGTCACCAGCTGTCGTTGCTGCTGTCGTTGCTTTGTCATTGCTGGTGTCGTTGCTGCTGTCGTAACCATCCCCCGACTGGTCCAACTGTGACTGCTGCTGTAATTGCGCGGCTGTCATTCCTGCTGTCATTGCTGCTGTCGCTGTCGTTGCTGCTGTCATTGCTGCTGTCATTGCTGCTCTCATGAGCACCCCGTAGGACAGTGTCACAATGGGATGCGGTGCCACTCACGAGAGAGGCAGGACACTCAAGATATACACGCACGCGCGCGCGACCGCTCACTCGCACGCCCGACGCCACATGAGAAACCCTCTCAACAGTAGCCACGCACCGTCAGCAGCAGCGGGCGTGAGTCACAGAATCTGCACAACCCTTGCCCTCCTTCCTCCAGCATGTGCCGTGATGGGCTCCAGCGCTGGTTCATCTGCCGCTCGCGAACGGCGTCAATCATCAACCGCGAGGATTGGGACCTTGAAATCCACGTCGCAAGCAAACGCGCAGAGCATTGAGCAACACACCTCGGGTATTGAACCTCTTGGCCATTGCCGAGCCACAACACAAGGCGTTGATCAGGAACTCTCATGTAGAGAGCTCGGCTCTGCTACAAGAAAGCAGGCTCGCCCTACACAGAGAAATTCTGAGATAGAGGAGCAGGAGTTTTGCAAAATGTGAGAGAGAGATTGTTTTGTTAGAAAATGTGTGAGACGGTACAAACGCTGCTGTGCGTCAAGCGCTGAGAGCTACATCCACGCGCACCGGTGTCTTATTTTAGTCCATGGGGTGTAATGCACAGATGGGTGGGTGGGCGGTTGGGCCCCTTTGCTGGTGCCTGTCACTAGGGCTATGGCTGCCTCACTGTGGCGCTGCCTCGCTGTCGCTGTCGCTGTCGCTGTCGCTGTCGCTGTCGCTGTCGCTGTCACTCGCAGGGTCCCGCGCTGACATTGTCACCGCCTGTCGCTGGCGTTCACTGGCTTCACTGCGCTGTCACTCGCAGGGTCCCGCGCTGACATTGTCACCGCCTGTCGCTGGCGTTCACTGGCTTCACTGTCACTGTCACTATGGCTGTCACTGTTCCTGGGTGCCTTTCACTCCTCCCTGGCAGCTAACTGGCTGTGCTGTCACCAGCTGTCACCAGCTGTCCCAGCTGTCGCCAGCTGTCGTTGCTGCTGTCGTTGCTGCTGTCGTTTCGCAGCCGCTGTCACGACATATTGACCACGTCGCGACCGTTAACAGACAGCCGTTTTAACCGTCATGACGTGAATAGTCTCTCACAACTAGACCAGCGCGCTCGCCAGCTCAAAAGAGAAAGATACAAAACAAGAACACAACGCACTCTCTCACATGACAAGTGATGACAAGAGGAAGCTCATACACAAAAAAATCAACGTACTCTCGTGAGCTGTGAACAGACGCACTTGCCTTCGGGGGCAAGTACGCCAGGTTGGGCGTGCTTTCACAGCCTCACGAGAGCAAAACAAACGGTACCCGGGTACCTAGGTACCCGGAAACTACACACACACTCTCACGATGGCCGCACTCGTCCACTCGAGCCGTGCGACTGCTGCTTGCTCGCGCTGCCACCTCGTGCTGCGCCTTCGCGCCGGTGCTAGGGGCCTCTCCTCCGACGTCGCTGCGCGCTACGAGCCGCAGCGTCTGCACCCGCGCCTGTTTGAGCCTTCAGAGGTGGTTAGCTCGTGGCTCGACCCTGCCGCTCTCGCGTTGCTGCAAGACGTGGAGCTCGCCGACCTGACGGACACCGACCCCTCGTCCGTCGCCCTGCGCAGCGTTGCGACAGAGGCGCGAGAAATCTACTCGTTCCCGCTGCTCAGCCCGCAGGCCTGCCGCATGCTGGTCGAGGAGGTCGAGCACTTCCAGTTGTCAGGACTGCCTGCCCGTCGGCCAAACTCGATGAACAACTACGGCCTCATTCTCAACGAGATTGGGCTGCGCGCGTCGCTGAGCAGGTTGCAGGCTGCCATCGCGCCGCTGGCACGCGCCGTGTTCCCCGCCGAGGGCCGCTCTCTTGACGACCACCACAGCTTTGTCGTGTCGTACAAGCCCACTGAGGATCGCGGCCTGGACATGCACACGGCGTGCTCCGGGTCCAGCTCCACACACCGACCCCACCGCAGCCCTTCGAGACGCGTCCGCAAATTAGGACGACTCGGACGTCACGCTCAACGTCTGCCTCGGCTCTGACTCGTTCGAGGCGAGCGGGCTCACCTTCTGCGGCGACATGGTCCGGACGGCGAGTCGCGCGGCGCCCCCCTCGCGCGGCCTGTCTGAGCGCCTGAGAGCGACGCGTAGGGGTCGGCAGACCACCGGCTGCGCTCGTACAAGTACGCCCACCGGCTCGGCCGCGCGGTGATGCCGCCCAGATGCGGACCAGAGACCGCTGCCCTCCAACTAGATCTAGCGCTCGAGAGGGCGTGCCACGCCGCGGCATTGTGTGTAGCAGCCCTCCACTTTCGTACTGTAGGTGATGCACTTGGGGAGGCGGCGGCACGGCGCGGACGACATCACCAAGGGTCACCGCCTCAACCTCATCATGGTCACCGCCCGCCGCTGCCCTCGCCGCGACCGCCGAAACTACGCCCAGCCCGCCTCTTGCCACCGCCGCCCCCCCTTCATCGTAGAATGCCTCCAAGATGCTGCGCCCTCGCAGCCCTGCTCAGCCCCAGCCCCGGCGTGCCCGCGCAGTGGAACTACAACAAGGAGTTCCGCGCCTCGCCCGAGTTCCGGGCACGCTCCTTTGCTCGCGAGGGCTCGCCCCCCGACGCCGAGTGCATCAGCTACACACACGACAGAGATTACGAGGCCGTCAGCGGTGTGCAGCGGCCCGCGCCGCATTTGGCGTCCTCGGCGTGGTGTCCGCCACCGCCCGCCGAGTACGACGGATTTGTCGGGCTCGAGGGCCGCTGGGCCGGGCACCCGCGGCGGCGGCCGGCGCCTTGACGCAGTGACGCACGCGCCACCTACGACCTACGGCGTACACGCTACCGGGCCGTAGGTACGTTAGACGTGGAGACGCGAGGGTCGCCCCCCCTTGCCCCACCACCTCGTGTGTGTGGAGAAGTTTACCTTACCGTACCTTACGCTACGGCGGATGATGCGGAAAGAGACAGGGGCCGAGCAGCAGTAAGGACCGACTCGGGGTTTATTTTTTGGCAGGGATCTCACAACAAGTAAAGCCTGGGTTGGGCCGATGTGCCCGTCGTTCGCCTAAAACAGAAAGTTAGCGCGTCGGTAATCCTTTCGGATATTTTACCTTGCCAGCGGGCGAATACTGGGCGAATCTTTCGCCCGCTGGCTCCTCCCTCCCGATCTTGCTTTGGAGCAGAGCCAATGCCGGTGCTGTGCTTGGTGTGGATCTTTTCGCTAAGCTCACGATGGATCAGCTCGACTGAGATCCGCCAGGCCTACCTCCGCAGGGCCGCCGCTCTCGCTCGCTTACCTCCAGTACGTCCGTTGCGAGCCGACGCAAGCTGCAGCAGCGGCAGCGGAGGAAGCAGTGATGGGGGTAACTACGGCGACTGCAGCAGGGATGGCGATACAAATCGCAACAGCTCGCGGCGGATCGGCCACTCGGTGTGCACCAAGATTGTGACGCCGATGATGCCGTACTACATCGCCACTCACTACCTCGGCTGGGAGGTGTGCCAGCTGCCCTGCAGCCTGCCACGCACACGGGCACACGGAAAGCGCTTCTGCCGGTGGGTGTCCACGGGACGCACGTGCACCCGCTTGAAGTGGCTCCCTCTGGGACATCTCCGCGCACGCGGCAGGTTGCCTGCAACAAGCTGCGCGGCGTCAAGGCGAGGCCGCTTGTTGTGTTTGACGAGGAGGCGCGACGCCCCCTCCCGGCCACACGCGTTGCGGTGCTGCAGCCGCCCGCAGTCCCATCCACCTTCGCCCATCCGTCGCTCAGGCGTCCATCACATCCCAGGAGCTGCACCACGAGCTCTGCCTCCGCAGCAGAAACACGTCGCACCTAACGACCGACCAGCTCGCGGAGGCCAAAAGCGCCGTGCGGATGCTACCGGTCGGGTCGGTGCTGCACGTGCAGGCGCGCCACGCGCGACAGGAGAGGCCCCGAGCGGACGTGATGGATCCCTGGCGTGGCGCACCGTAGGTGAATCTGTTCCGGCTGTTCGTGACCGAGCTGCTCCCGCTGCTGAGGACGAAGGTGATTCTCCTCACGGGGCAATGGCTCAAGCCGGCGCTCGAACTGCTCGCGCCCGGCCGTACGAAGCTACCCGATAGCCACCAGAACCGGCTCGGGTTCGTCACCTCGGGCGACGTCGAGGCGACCCTCCGCAGCGACAGGATTGTGCGGTGGTATTCGCAAAACATGTTTGCCGTCCCAAAGACGTACCAAGACAAATATCGCGGCCTGCCGTACGGGATCGACTACACGAAGGCGGAGCAGTACCGCAAGTGCCTGCGCGACTTTGGCAACGTGCCCAAGAAGGATACCCTCTTCCTCTCGCCGCTGCGCAACACCTCCAAGGTGAGAGAAGTGCTGCTGAACCTCTCAGAGTACAGAAACGCGATGCGTGCCTTCACCGGCAAGAACGGCGCCCGGCGCATCGAGAACTACAGCTACTACTGCGAGCGGCTTGCGCGCGCCCGCTTTGTCATCTCACCCGAAGGCGACCGCCCAGACTGCTTCCGCCACTGGGAGGCGGCCGATGCCGCGCGTCGCGCCCCGTCCGGGTCGAGACACGTCCACGACTCACAAACCACGACATACCCCACAGGCGGTAGGCTTGGGCGTGGTGCCCGTCTGCAACTGCCCCGAGACGCTCCGCCCGCTGCTCGGCCACGGCACCCTCGTCTGGAGGCAACCCGAGAGCTCGCGAAAGGCTGCTCTGAGCCGCCATTGCCCTAGCCGTAGGCGCCGACATGGTGTACGCATCCGAGGCGGAGTACGAGGACTACGTGCGCTTCCCCTTGCTGCTCGCCTGGCGCTTCCGGGAGGCGCGCCCGCAGCGGGAGAAGGTCTTTGTCGACTTTTGGAGGAAACGAGTCGACGAAGATCGTAGGAGCTTGTGGGCACGTGAACAGTCAGTCCGAACGGGTAGAGTAGGTCAAGTAACTAGATAACAGGTCAAGTAACTAGAGCGCCGTAGAGTCCAGTTTGCAGCTAAACACTGATAAACTACATCAACAAGGTAGAGATGGGTTGTAAAATTCGCATTCGATGTACGTGCGCTCGAGCGAGAACAGAGACGTACACGCACACACACACACAACGCTGGGGCTCTGTGGGCCGATGTACGGGCCCCCCCCTAGGGCCCTACGGGCGTACCCATGCGGGGGGGGAGATGGGGTACCCGGCCCGCCGCAAGCGCCGTTTTTGTTTTTTTCGGGCGATTTTTACTTGTTTTCATGGGAATTCGGCGTACGAAAGGGAGGATCCCCAAAGGTCCGAACGAAGTGGCGTCAAGTTGCAATCACCCGCCCGCCGCGTCCCGGCGGTCCCGCAGCTCGCGCAAATCTCCCGCTTAACCCACCTGTGATGTTACAATAGGGGATCCCTATACTTGCGGCCATGCTCTATCACGCCTTGCGACAGCGCTACTGACCGTGCCCTGCTGCACAAATTGATCACCTGCATAGCTCGCGGCCTTAGTCTCTCTTCAGTATTCAGTGCACAGCGGTGACCTGATCGTACGGCCAGTAGGAAGGTGTCCTTCCGGCGCGTGCACACTTCTGACGGGTGACGCAATGCCCGTCACAACTGCCTCGGATTGGCTGCTGGCACTCTCGCCGCTATACACAGCCTCGCGCACATGGGCAGTCAAGAGGGAGCATGCACCTTCTCAGGAGAGCGCCAGTGCCTCTCCTCTTGGACCAGCAAACGTGGTGGTCTCGTGTCACCAATGTGGGACCAGTGCCGCAGTGCGGCATCGCGCCATGGACAGCTCTGACACTGCGCCTCACCACTGACCGGGAAGGCCGCGAAGTGGGCCAGCACAGGTCGCACATTGTGGCAGCAGTGCATGTCTGTAGAGGAGCAGCAGCGTCAGGGTCGCAGGGTCGGATCGTGTCAAGCCTCTCGCGCGCTCGCGCCCGGCCGGCCGCGTGCACGGTGCAGACGTCGCGACGTCGGCCTGTATGCCGTCTGGAGTAATCTGTCGACACTGTCCATCTCGTTTGAGTTGACTGTTATAGCCCCCCGCTACCCAGTTGATGCACTCGTGCGACGTAGCGGGGGGCCACGACTACGTTTACGAAAACATAAGTAGTTCGCACAGAGGGCACGCGAGGTACGACCGTGCCCGGCCGTGCTATTAAAGCGACTCGGCTCTCTAACAGGCTGCAGCCCAGAGCCACACGGAGTCTACGCGCATCGCTTGTGCATAGCCTCGACCAATCTCCTGTTCACGGTGCAACCGTCAACAAAGAGCTTCTTCGAACCGTTACAAACACGACGCGAGCCGCCCAGCAGGGAGCCTGGGCGACTCGCTTTGACGCTGGCCAGGCCGGAGGCGAGTGCCGCCGCCAGGCCACGACCGACCGCGCCCGTCCTACGGACGGGCGCAATGGGCCAAACGGATCCGCGCCGCAGTGCGTGCAGCACCGCGCCGCCAGTCCAATACATGCAAACCGCAGGCTTTGCAGCGAGGACCAGCCTGCTCAGCTTCGAACGAGGAGCCAGCAGCCAACAGGAGGACAGCAGTCGTCCACGCCAGCTGGAATGCGAGGACCGCCCCAGCCGCAGGTGGCCCCATACGTAATGCTTTGCGCAAAGCACCGTGCAAAAATGGCGTCTTTACATGGCCATGCAGCAAGCAGTGCCGCCAGATGAGCACACGGCCATGGGCGAAGTGCACCCGCAGGGCCAGCTGGCATTGCGTGGTGCACTCGCAAATCAACCCGCCCTCTCGTGCCAAGGACGGCGCGAGGGGAGCGCGAGCATCCACCAGCAGCCGTCTGGCTGCTGGTGTGAGCCATACTCAACACGCCGCGCGGAGCGGAGTGCGGAGCCATGAATGAGCAGTAGAGCCTGCGCCTCGAAGCACGGCCTGCGGCCCCTACCCTGCCGTCGGCCC